TTTATCTTCTTTGAAAGTTCATGCAAACAAAAGCTGGATGTTGATAAATCTGATAAAAAGCAAATGGCTGTGTCAATGGTAACTACCTCATCTCCTGAAACACATTTAATTGATTGATGCAAGCAGGCATACAACTTTGCTGTATTTCTGCTCTGTGATGTAAGGAATGGTACCTGTTTCTCTTTTAGCAAAGCAGCACCTTTCAAGAAGCCCTGAATTCCTTCTGCTAGAACATTGATTATACCCTTTTAGCTTGAAGAGTTCCACTAAGTTCCAGGTTCTGAAATAATTTCCTCAGCTTGTCTTTTAGCCATAACTTCACAACCTGGGATACTCTTTTTCTCTTTCTACCATATGTTGCTGTAAGTACTTGTACGAATCCTAAATTTGTCAACAGAGGAAAATGATAACAGTTATAGCCAACATGGGAGATTAATGGATACCTGGGCCATGCATGAGCTTCGCTATTTCCTGCAGTTTCTATTTTGTCTGTAAAACTCCATTACCTGTCTAAATCTCTTTGATCTTCCTATTGAAAAGAGATTTTGAGAATTTTTACAAGGGAAACCTAGTCACAGGGATCATCAGATTAATCCAATTCTAGTTATCTTCATTTCAAAAGGCAATTAGGATAGCATGCTGGCTTCAGATTAAGGGGTCTACAGACTGCAGAGGTCCATCACACTCCTCATTCAGTTCTACGCTCTCCTGTTAAACCAACAGTGAGAAGACACTTATCTAATACAGACCTGTAAAAGGAGTGTTGTTACCAGACATGAAGCATGAAGAGATAGCAACACCACGTGAGAACAGAATGTCCTAGAACTGCAGATGTGGGCCATGCCTTAGCCAAAGCCTGAAGAATTATTAGCATGGTGAAAATACAGATACATATCTTCATCTCTCCCAACTTCTTTTCTTGAAGGTTTTAAAAATACCTCCCATGTCTTATTGAGAATTTGTATTCTTACTGTATGCCCAGAACCCAGATTTTGCTTAGGCTTCTTAAACATCTAAGCCAAGTGCAAGTGAGACTCACAAGATGAAGTAGAGCAGTGCACTGAATGCCTACTGCATCACAGAGACTCACAGCATGGCTGAGGCTGGGAGGGCCCTCTGGGTCTGTCTGTGCTCTAGAGGAACACCCAAAGCAGGGTGACCAGGCCCACATCCAGGCAGCTTCTGAAGATCTCTAAGAAGGAGACCCTACAAGCTCTGGGCAGCCTGCACCAGTGCTTCATCCCTTACACAGCTCAGAAGTGCTGCCTGCTGTTCAGAGGGAACCTTCCACATTGCAGTTTACACCCACTGCCTCTTGTCTTGGCACTGTAAACACTGAAAAGAGTTTGACTCCATTTTCATTAAATCCTCTCTTCAAGTACTTACAGACGCTGCTGAGGTTCCCTCTGAGCCTCCTCTATTCTAGGAGAAGTCTCAGCACTCTCATAGGAGAGATGTTCCAGCCCCTTCACCATCTTGGTGACCTTATATTCAACTCTCTCCAGTACATCCACATCTTTCTTCCACTGTGGGCCCCAAAACTGGATACAGCACTCCAGCTGTGGCCTCACTAGTGCTCCTAAGGTTTGGAACTTTCTCTTCAGTCATCTTGGTTCAACAGATGGGAATCCTTTGTTTCCATTACTCACTCACAATGCTCAGAAATCTACAACAAAAACTAGCAGATATGTCTGATGAGACTTCAGCACAGCTCAAGCCACTGAGTTATGTGAAGAAACATCTGTATTTTCATTTTGGAAAAGATTCTTCAAGGTTTGTATGTATTCTGCATACAGAAAGGAAACAAAATTAAGACCAAAAAGCCTCATAAAGCAAGCTATAAGAAAATTTTTCATATTTCCCATTATTTCAAGAAGTATTTTATGTGCAAGGATGTGAAAGAAAGAAACAAATGGAATACAAAGCCCTGTACAGGACACATGACAAAGTTTAATATTACAATGCTAATAATAGAAATTAGAACTCCCTGTAACGTTCAGTACATGCTGATATGAAGCCAATGGTATCTTAGAGTACGGAAAGACTAAATTATCTCAAGAGAAGTCAGGATGGAACTTGCAGCACATCTGTTACTCCACTCCTATGCCTCCACGCCTGCTCCTTCCCTTCAGCAAACACCCCAACAGAAAACATTAACCCACCTCTCATTAATTCACACTTGTCATGAGGTAAGACTGTACACACCTTGGGCTTTTCTGGGCCTTGATAACAAGAAACACTGCAGCTAACGATAAGCGTTCAACTCCAAAACAGAACCACAGGCAGTGTTTGTGGCTGACACTAACACTTCCACACAGCCTGGGCTAAACTGCTTGGTAGACTCCAGGCTGTAGCTCCATGCAAATAACTGAAAAATGCCATTCTCTTGCTTTTCCACTTCAATGCAAACTTGTCAGTAAATATTATATGGTCTGATTTTGGGTGGTCCTGTGCAGAGCTAGGAGTTGGACTCAAAGATCCTTACGGTTCCTTTCCAACTTAAGATGTTCTACAATTCTATGACCACACACTGTTCCTTCTGACTGTCCTCAGTTCTCATCTGTATGGCTGTAAAATGTATGAAATTCTTTTGTACAGGAAAACATGCCACAAGATTCCTATAAAACTTACAATGGACACTCCAAATAATAAGGTTAGTAACAATTATCCTCCTGACCCATTAAAGCTCTGTTTCCTTTTAACTACTTAATTTGTAATGGGTAAATAGTCCCAGAAGTGGGTGCCAGCATTTGAGTACACACAGAACAGCTGTGCACCATATCTGCATTCAGTCCACCCCACATAATTTAGCATTGGTGGTTTCTGCATACAACACTTCCAGTGTAAGGTTACTCGTGTAGTGTCGGTGAACAGCTATCTACCCATCAATACAGAAAGTAGGTCACAGCTTACAAACATACAGACAACTGCCTCTACTACAATATTGATTATTAAGAAAAACCACCCAAGATTTTCAACACTTAGGGGCAACTTCAGACTACTGAAGAGGAAAAAAAACATCATTTGCCATGTGACAACTTTCAAGCATAGGCAAGAAAGCGATGTCACCACCACCACACCAGCTTTCCCGTTATCATTTTCTGCACTCAGCACCATTGCCAACACACTGATAATTTCAGAACCAAGAAAACAGAAAAATAATTTAAGAAGCAGTTATGTAGCTTCCTGGATATGGCACTACATTACAGTATTTGCTTAATTGCAGTCATATGACTGTCTTAATTTGCACCAGAAGTATTCTGGAGGCTGAGTGCAAACAGCAATTCTTGTGAAGTACAACATGTCATTGTGATAGTACCCAAAAGTTCTGTTCTGAAACACAAGCTCCAGTCTTCAGACATGCAAAAAAGGTGATAACAGGCACCAAATAAGTGCTTCTTATATCTCTGAGAAAGATGACAAGTGCTAAGAGATTTTCCAGGAAATCATTGTCAGCGATTATTACAGTGCTTCATGATACAAAATTCACTTCATTTGAAGAAACAAATAGTTTTGATTACCTGTTTTGTTCAACGTGCTTTGAAATATTTGGAATATCACATTTTTCTTATGAACTATAAAACAAAGGTGAATCATAGAATCATTTGAGTTGGAAGGGACCCTTAAAGGCCATCTAGTGCAACTCCTTTGCAGTGAACAGGGACACCTACAGCAGATCAGGGTGCACAGAGTCCCATCCTGCCTGACCTTAAGAGTCTCCAGGAATGGGGCATCCACCACCTCTTTTGACAACATTTCAGTGCCTCACTACCCTGATCATAAAAAATCTTCTTTCTCACATCCAATCTAAAGCTCCCCTCTTCTAGTATGAAACTATTTCCCCTTGTCCTATCATAACAGACTGTGCTAAAGAGTCTGTCCCCTTCCTTCTTAAAGCTCCCCCTATAGACAATGAAAGGCCACTCTCAGGTCTCCCCAGAGCCTTCTCTTCTCCAGGCTGAACAGCCCCAGCTCTCTCACCATGTTCTTGAATCATTTTTGTGGCTCTCCTCTGGATGAGCTCCAACAGGTCCACATTTCTCCTGTACTGAGGACTCCACAAGTGGACGCAGTTCTCCAGGTGAAGCCTCACCAGTGCAGAGCAGAGGGGCAGGATCACCTCCCTCACTCTACTGCCCGTGATTCCCAGGATGCAGTTCACTTTCCTAGCTGTGATAGCACACTGCTGGCTGATATTCAGCTTGTCATCCTCCAGTAACCCCAAAGCCTTGTCAGTATCAGACCCATCTGTCACCTGAACACCAAGATACCTCTGCCACAAGACAGTGCAATAGCATACCAACATCAGAAAACTCATTATTAATTTCATCAGTAAGTTTCCCTCCACATTCCCTTTGGTAAGGGTTTCCCTTCAGACCGGAGCCATCCAGGCAGTAAGGGCAACGTGTTTTCCCCTACAGACTGGTTTCAGATATATATATACACATGTATATGTACAGTGAAAGTGCACCTCTATCCCACGGCAGCGTAAGCATGCCTACTCCAGAGTCACTTCTTATCAATAACTTTTCTATTCAACAGCACACAACTTTAACACCTCCGCCACACACCCTTCTACTGCAAGGACTGTTTGGGGCAGCAGCATTTAGCATTATCAAAGCACTAAGTTACACCGATCCGTGTTACACAGGTATGGGAGCAGAAAGAACACGCAGAGCGGTGCCCCCAGCACGGCGGGAGCTCAGTAGAAGGTGGGACAGGGGCAGCCGAGCCTGCGGAAACCCAGCCCGCCCCGCTGCCCCGTCGCGGCGCAGGGCCGAGAGGACGAAGGGCAACGGGCGGAGCCCCGCCGCGCCCCGAGCCGCCCGCTGACAGCCGGCACCGCGCTCAGCCCCGCCGCCCGGAACAGCCGCCGCTCTTCAGCGCCCGCCCCGCGGAGCGCGGAGCGCAGGGCACGGCAGCCCCGGCAGCCCCAGCCGCCCGGTTGCGCCCCGGCAGCGCCAACTTTCCCCGCGCCCGGCTCCCGCCCAGCCCGGTACCTGCCTCGCAGCCACCCCCCCGCCCCCGGGGGCGCGGAAGGCCGTTGCGGCCGCCGCCACGACGAACACCGAAGCGAGCAGGTGCGGAACGCGGCACCGCCGGGACCGCTGCCGCCGGCTCCTGCGCTTTGGGCTGGGCGGGGCGGGGCGGGGCGGGGCGCGGCGGGGCGCGGCGGGGGGGCGGTGGGGAGCGAGGACGCCCGCCCGCCCGTCCGCTGCCGCCTCCTAGCGGGGAGCAGCGACAGCTCCGGCCGGGCCCCGACCCTCATCGGCTGCACTCGGAGAGCTTCGGCTCTTTCCGCAGCTTCCGGGAGAGACGCGGGCCCTGGCGTCCCGCGGCCGGGCGAGGTGCGATACCGCCGGACGGGACTCGAGACAAACCAAGCTGTGGGGCAGCGGTCGCTCCTACAACTGTACCTCAGATTCGGGGCACGGGGGAGTCTCAGTGCTTGCTGCCCACGGGGAGACCACGGTGGCTGCCCCGCTAGGCGAGGGTCTGACGAACCGGTGTCTCTTTGTCTTGCCTCCTCAGCCAACCATGAGGTGAACTCGTGCCCGCAGCACAGCAGGCTGCTCAAGGTGCCAGGTGTGGGCACGCTGCCGCAGCGCAGCGCAGAAATGTGGGCTCCAGCCTTGACAGCAGCCAATTGTGTCAGAGCCGCTCTGCACCACGCTAATTAGCTGTGCCTTTCAGCAGAGCTAATTAACTGGAGCGAGGTACCTCCATGGCCAGGCAGGCCGGTGGTGTGTTTTCTCCAGTGGCAAAGCTGTTTGAAGAAGTTTTCAGATGCTTGTGCTTGCCCTTGTGGCACAGTTGTGCTAACACAACTCTTCAGTGAGATCAGCTCTTGCTTACAGTGCACCAAAACTCTCTTAAAAAATGTGTGCAACTCAGATATCGCTTCTAAAAATACGTGGTATTTCCACGATCTGTTGTGGTCCCTGTCCTCGGATATCTCTGTTAGCAAAGGAGTGGGAGCAGGCAGGAGGTGAACAGGAGACAGAGCACCAGAGACAACAAGGGACAAGGAATCTTAGAATCATAGAATGAAAGAATCATTAAGGCTAGAAAAGACCTCTAAAATCACCAAGGCCAACCACCAACCCACTCTACAACCATAGAATATCTCAAGTTGGAAGGGACCCATGAGGACCCATCTAACTCATGGCTCCATACAGAACCACCCAGAATCCAAAACCTATGTCTTAGAGCATTGTCCAGACACTTCTTGAACTCCAGCAAGTTTGGTGCCTTGACCACTGCTCTGGGGAGTCTGTTCCAGTGCCCAACATGACAGGGAAAAGCAGGTCTGATCACCCCTTGATGTGCCTATGTGGTCCTTCAAATTTCAAAACTACCCCTCCCAGTGTACAAATACATCTCCTTACAATGGAGATGTGGCTCTCCAAAATGCATCACTCATTTCCCCACTAGGGACAATGCACACTGCCGCTACCATGGCTGGCTCCCAGGGCTTTTCAGAGTCAGTGCAGGTTCCTCTGGGCAGTTCTGTCTTGGCCTTACAAAACATGCTTGTTGGCACCTATCCCAAAGAGCCATCTTTCCAGAAGACTTCACCAAGGAAGCTGTCTAATAATCTAATCTCTCTCCATCTACAAAATGTGTACAAGCATAACTTTGCACACATTTACATCCTGATTAAAAAAAAAAAAAAAAAAGTCATAGAATCATAGAACCACATACTGTCTTGGATTGGAAGACTTCCAATCTCCTGCTGTGAGCAGGGCTGCCACTCACTGGGTCAGGCTGCTCAAAGCCCCATCCAACCTGGCCTTGAACGCCTCCAGGAACAGGGCATCCACAGCTTCTGTGGTCAGTACCCTGCATCCCTCTGAGTAAAAAATTTCCCTCTAACTTCTCAATATCCCCTCTTCTAGTCAAACACTGTTCTCCCTTGAAGTAAAAAGGCTTCATTCTAGTTCTGAGGCTCAAAGCTTGTCTCTGGGATGTGAGAATGTTCAGCTTGAGAATGTCAGCATTTGAAGAGAAGCCCTGACTCTGCCCACCCAGGTCAGCTCATCAGCATCAGCCCAGAACCTCTTCTTCATCCGTGAGGAATGGACCCCTCTGACACTTTGCATTCCATGGAAGGAAGCTAAACCTGCAGGTATAAAACTTTGATCTTGGAAAGCACATTCCCAAATTTCTTGGTTGTCTGGAAAGGTAGAGATCTCTGTACAGATCAAGAGCAGGGAAAAGAAGGAATGAGATAACTAACTGTATGTTCTGCACACAGACTGCTGCAGGAGTGCTGCTGAATTTGTCCTGACAGCAGCAGATCTTTAGCACCATGTGTGATGTCACCTAGTCACTTAGTAACAAAAACACATTTGCATGTGAATGTTCCTACAGGTCACCTACTTCTTCAAGTGCTAAATTAGATTTAATACCAGTTCACTACCTGTAGTTAATATAGATAAGTTCTCTGATTAGGTTGACCACATGGCTGCACCTGCACTTGCAGTGATAGAAGCAGCTGAGATGGAAGAGAAGGCTGCCTATTTGAGCTGCATAGCTGGGCCATGCTAGCCTTTGGAGGTGATGAATATGCAGCCGAACTTGACAGCTTAGGCTGGCAGTTGAAGAAAGAATAGAAGGAAAAAGTCCTGCTATGTATCTTCTAAATGATCACTGCTGGAGTTTGGCTTAGATGGGGGTAAATCCCAGAGCAGGATTTTAGAGAGGTACAAAATGACACTTAGTATTCCGTTTTGGACAACCTAGGAGAAATAAATGAGTGATTCAGAAAAGAAGGCTAGTTGGGGAAAGTTAAAGATTTGGACTGTCCAGGAATTGTCACAAGACAAGAAGACAGTTGTCTTCAGTTACATATAGCACATGAGAAGGGCACCGATCCCATGTTCTCCAAGACCACTGGGGTTGGGATGCAAGCAGCTTAATTCACAGGGAAACAGACTACAATGACATGTCTAGCAAAGTCTTGCTAGACATGAACCAGTTAAGGTAGGCAAATGGTGGAACCTCTTCCATGACATTTTAAAAGTTTGGCTTAAGTAAATATCCTGTATCTAAGGTATGAGCATTCATTTGAACCACGTAGGAAAAAAAGACTGCCAGAGGCCTCTGTCAACCTATGTGGAGGAAAAACACTTTCAGATTTGTGTTGTCAAGCCCAGCAAGCCTCTCATGAGTAAATACATGTACATACATACATGCATGCATGCAGACTTGCAGAAGCTCATCAGCCAAATTTCAGAGAATTTCCTTTAAATCAGTGAAAGACTCCTTGCTGAAAAAATCATGGACATGCTGGAGCTCCTCAGTAGATACTTCTGAAGAGGCAATTTGTTTTTAGATAGCAGTTCTTTATCCTCTTTTCTTGGAAAAGGCTGTGGCTTATACTTGCTTGAACTCAGTTCAGCCTGAGGCAGAAACCCATGATGGGAAACTTCATCCTAATAATTAAACTCTGGTGCAGTTGTTACTGAAGCAAGGTCTTTATAAATAGAGCTCTGTACACTATGGTCACCTCTGCCTTATAGATACATCTGCAATATGCATGCATGGGTTAAGCTTCAGTTCAGTTCAGTCCCAGAGGTACTGAGGTTCTAGCAACTGTCCTTCTCCCAAGTTTAGCAATACATTTTTAAGTCTTGTCTTCTTACACAAACCAACAATGAGGTTTCAAAAAAAACTCAACAAACCAGTAAGTGACTTAAAGTAAGTTCACACGATCGGCAAATACCAGTGTAAGAAAACACAGACTAGGAGCATATACACAGGCAGGGAATGCTGCCCAGCATTTAGGCAGTAGTGTGTCTGGCCAAAGCAATTAGTGTGCTTGCTGGATCTTTGTGATGTCATTCTCCTTCCTCATTTCAGCTGTGATTGTCAGGCATTGGCTTACAGGCATATATGAAGATAATCCATGCTGTATGTTGACTCATGAAATATGCATCATGAAATATTGGTTAAACAAAGGTAAGAGAATATGAAAATGCAGGCGCTGAGAATGTACCAACGGTGTTTCATTTAGTTCTAAGCAGTGAAAATGTTCCAGACTGTAAAATGATGGGAAACAGTGAAAGCACCATCAACTTGGTCAGTTACATGTAAGCAAAACATCATTGTAGATTAAGATATTTTGCTGAGAAAATGCTGTGTATGTACACATACAGAAAATTAAGTGATAGTTGAAAAACTCTTTACCTCTACTTTGATTATCTGATCAATAGCTTGATGAATATGTATTTACATTATGTTCACAGCCTTTCAGTCACTGAGAAGCAGACTTCTCAAATGATCTTTTTGGCTTGCTCTTTCTTTACTCTGCATTATGGGACACTCCATGATTTCATGTTATCTGTCATCTATAAAGACAATGGGAGGTGTTATTATAACTCGTTTTTCTTGCATTTTCCTATAACAGTATTTCCCTTCTTCAGGTTATATATTTTTAATTAAAAAAATGCAATTCATAGGGAAGGAGTGTTGGTTAATTTTTGCTTTGTCTAAAATTTGCAAATTTTTACATTTAACAATTAATCATGAAAAGCATATTTAAATGGCTGTTATTTAAATGGATACAATATATATAATTAATTCAATTGCACGGAGTAACAATGTAGCCCTAGTTAATTTTCTGTAAAAGGTATTTTGTTTCTTGCAAAATTACCACTCCCTAAAGTATGGCGGGAGCGTATTTTACATTCTGTATCATTTGAATTTGAGAAGGAACACTGCAGAAAACTGCTTTAATTGAAGTGTGAAATGTATGGGATTGAGCCTTTAGGGAGCATTGGGCACTTTTCTCATCATTCTGGTTGATAGATTTGCATGATGTGGGTGGGGAATGTTGTTGATCTGGCTGTCCATTTTAATTTTGGGCCAGTTGTGGCAGCTTGAGTGTGAAGTATGAGAGCAGCTTTAAAGAGAAAGACAAGTATGGGAACCTTAGAATAGACACTGTGCTGAACACCAAAATAGGAAAATTGCACCATTTACACAAATTTAAGTGAACTCAGAATATCATAAACTGCAATACTTTGTACTTTATCTCCTGTATTGAATAATTCCCATGTCTTTTTTGGCTTCCTGTTTCACATGAATATAAACAAGCTGGAGAAAAGTTCTTAAAAGTTAACACATG